CTGCCCACACAGCAGCTCTTCTTCTGCCACTGACTATTTCTGGCATTGGGATGGTGGCGTGACCATCATGAACCATACAGGTTCCTGCTGTACCCCCAGGTCTCTGGGACCCTCCTGCTCCTCACTCTCTCTCCTCCATTCCTGACCACAGGCAAAACCATCCTGCTCTGGGTGGTGTTGGAAAGGCAGCATTTAATGAAGTTGTATGTGTGGCAGAGCCCAAAGCACTCCCAAAAATTTGGAATTGAAGCTAATTAATGTACTAATCACCCATCATCTTTCTAAGTCCTTCAGGGTGCTGAAGCTGGGTGAGTGAGTAGGCACAAATCCATGGAGCTGTCAATGGAGAAACTGTGGGGAATGTCCTGACTGGGTGGGGTCCAAGGAGTCCAGTTGCTCCCCAGTGCTGGCAGAAACCATCTTCAGAGTGCAGAATGTCCTGGTCCAGGTGCCAGCTGGGATGCAGGTCCCTGGAGCAGCCCCGTGCGTGACATGGAGCAGTGGGCTGAGGCAGGATCAGTGCTGTGGCTCCCAGCAGGACATTCTCCTCCCAATCTCTTTGTGCAGCTCCCAGCTCCCAGTCTCTGCTCCATGCCCTGGTGGGAGTAGGATGTTGTGGGACAATTAGGTGAAGTCCCTGACTCTCAGGGGACCTTCAGCATTGTGGCTACAGCAGCTCCTTTCTTTCCAAGGTCTTTGTCCCTTGTTTATCCCTCCTGTAGCAGCTCCTGAGTACTTTCAGGTACCAGCAGTGCCTACAACCCAGCACATCAATTCTCCTACAGAGGATTCACATTCCCAGATTCACTGTGTGTCTTCTTTCTCCAGCTGCTCATCACTCCAGTGCTCTGTTCTTTACCTCCATGCTGGCCCTGCTCGCCCCACTTCTGGCTTTGAACATCGAAAACCAGAACAGACTGCAAGCAAATTTAACTGACATCATTAATATCCATTCTGATGAGCCTGTTCCTGGTATGTCTTTTCTCTCTTACATCCATAATATCTGTTCATGCAAACATCAGGAGCTCTCTCCTCTCTGCACAGAGAGAGAAGTGTGGAAAATACTGTTGGGGAAGGGCAGTCACACTCTGAAATAAAAGGAACCTGATCAAATCTTCCTGCAATTTAATTTCTTAACCAAACATCAAGAGATTTGATCATTCAACCTTTGTTATTGACAAGATTGTATGTGGCAGCTTTTTCTAGAGAGCTGTAGATATTCAAAGGAAGACAGACTTTTTCTCTTCCTATGTATTTATTCCTCTAGCCCATCTGAAACTCTGAAACTTCAGAGAAATTTTGTGTAAGTGACTAATCAGAACATTTCCAAAGCTTGCATGTGTCTAAATTATCCCAAGACCTAATCACACCATTGCTGGAGGTCACACCTCCAGGAGCTCTCAGGGAGATGCTGCCTTACTACGATGGGTGCTGGGATTTCTCTTACACAGAGTATTGTTCTCTCATGTGCTTTGAGCTCCTTTTCTCTCTGAAGGTTTCTGAATGAACATGTGAATCCTTCAGCCATCACTGAAAAGTAGGTTCACAGCAACAGCTCTGAGTAGTTTGATCTTGGTCGGAGAGCACACACAGCTCATTTCCCTCTCGATCCTTCTCTAGCTGTACATCTTTGTATCATTACCACTGCTCTGAGCAACCTGGTCTAGTGGCAAGTGTCCTTGCTTATAGCAAGGGGGTTGGACTAGATGGCCTTTAAAAGGTCCTTGCCAACCCAAACCCTTCTGTGATTCCATGATTCTATTCAGATATGAAAAGCTTTAATGCTGAGAGGAGCCAACAGGCAGCAGCTCAATGACTGCAGCATTATCCTCCCTAGTGTCTGATCCCTTCAAAGGGTTTGCAACCAAAAACTACCACCCAGGAAGAGAAACGAGCCCAGTGGCATCATTGAAGGGCCCTACAAAAACCTCAGTGCTGGAAATAACAGCCTGTGGGGGCTGGAGTTCCCTCTGTGCTGTGACACAGGGCTGCTCGTCTCACTCCTGTTTTTCCCAAAGCAGATGAAGCTGGAGAGATGATGCAGAGGAACAGGGCAGCAGCCCCTCAGCAGGCACAGCTCCATGGCAGCAGTAAGCACCTCACACCCCGCAAGGAACAGGGAGGGAATGAGGGGCCAGTGGTGGTGGGTGGGCAGAGACCCTGGGCAGCACTTGGCCCAGCACATGGGCTCAGGGCTGGGTGTGCTCCTCCACAGCACACACCGAGGCCACTAAGGTCTCACCTTCTACAGTGACAGCTCCACACCGAGCTGTGACTGATGTGAGCCCAGAGGACTTCGACATGGGCAGATGGGGATAGGATGGGGGGAACTATTTGAAAGTGAAAGATGAGAGATTTAGAGGATTAGATTTCTTTAGGAAGAAATTCTTGGCTGTGAGGGTGGTGAGACACTGGTACAGGTTGCCCAGAGAAGCTGTGGCTGCTCCATCCCTGGGAGTGTTCAAGGTCAGGTTGGATGGGGCTTGGAGCAACCTGGGCTAGTGGAAGGTGTCCCTGCCCATGGCAAGGGGTGGAACTGGATGATCTTTAAGGTCTTTCCGACCCAACCCTTTTCAGGATTCTGTGATCTCAGAGGACTCTGCAGCCATTACTTACATGTCCCAAGTCCTCTCCTCTGCTGTGATGCTCTGCACAGGCCATGCAGAGGATGTGCCTCCTGAGCAAAGTTTGCTGGGATTTCACAGCCATCCAAGGGATCCAATGCCAAGGGAATGAGGTTTCCTCCTTGCTGACCCCAGGGATGCAGGGAATGCCAGGGTTGCAGGAACAGCAGAGGGAGGGGTTGTTGTGCCTGTTGGTCCTCCGTGTTCCCTCTGCCCCAGGTTGGCCCAAGGACTGCAGTGAGCTGCCCTCTGGCAGCTCCAGTGGTATCTACCTCATCCAGCCCAAGGGACTGCAACCCATCGTGGTGTACTGTGAAATCAGCAGGGAAGATGGAGCCTGGACCGTGATCCAGAGGAACCAGAGAGACACACCAGTCACCTGGGATGAGTCTTGGAGCACCTACAAGTACGGATTTGGGAATGTGCGCACCGAGTACTGGCTGGGCACGGAGTACATCCACCAGATCACCAAGCAGAAGGTCTACCAGGTCAGGTTTGTCATCTGGAATGCTGAAAACCTCATGAAATATGCAGACTACAACCTGTTCAGCCTGGGTGATGAGTCCCAGGGCTACCAGCTGAGGCTGGGAGCGCACTCAGGGACAGCAGAGGATGCCATGGCCTCGAAGGGGACCACCACCATGCACGACAACATGAAGTTCTCTGCCAAAGATCGGGATCAGGACACTTGGAGTTCAAACTGTGCTGCCAGCTATGGGGGTGCATGGTGGTACTCAGCATGTTACTCTGTGAGGCTGAACTTCAAGGGAGCCATGACATGGGGCAGCCTGTGCAATGGGAACTGCAGAGCCTCAGCCATCCTCATCAAACCTGTCAACCACTGCTAATTTCAATTTCATTTCCTTTCTGTCCAGCCTGGGGCTAATTCTGGCTCTGCAAAGAGTAGGGACAAGGCAAAACTTGCATGGTCAAATGTGGTGTCCTAGGGGGTCTTTGCAGAGGTTGGACATATTTAGCTACTGAATAAAATAAAGCATTTTCCACTTTTTCTCTCTCCTGTAGATTCCCTCTACTCCTCAGCTGTGCCTGAGTTCTCTTGTTCAGAGTCAGATCATTTTAACTTTGTTAAAGATCAGAACAGTCTCTTGGAAACCCAGAAGTTTCCAGATGGGCAGTGTGTTTCACATAGAATGTGAAATGGTCAACCCAGTAGGCTTCTATGGCTATGTCAGTTAATTCACATCCTTAATTTCAGGGAAATGACCTAATTTTCACTTGCTGAAGATCTTGCTCAAGCTATTAACATGCACAGTCAAATTCCCACTCTGAACCTCCTTCATTTCAGGCTTAATAGATGTTAAATAGTCAAATAAATCTGTATTCAAAGAACTGTCTGAGTTGTAAAAGTCTATTTCAGATCTTTGAAGTGCTCACAGAGGTTAATGCATTAGAGGGTTCCACCACTACAGCTCAGCTTTACACTGAGTCAGGGCCACTGCCCAGAGGTGACAACACAGAGGGGAGGAATCACCCTGCCTTTGCTATTTGGAAACTGCAAAAAGATTTCAAAGTGCCATAAAATTTCTGGGTGGGAAGACCATCTAGCTCCTGAGGTCCATCCCTCTGGATGCTCCTCACAGGCAAGGGGTTTGCAGCCACAGGGTGACCCCTGCACTGAGGGGCAGCAGAATGAATCCTTTGGTGCCCCAGTGTTTCCCTGACAGGAGGATGTGACCTGGGAACCCTCAAGCCCAACGTGAGTAACCTGCCCCCCAAAACCTCTGCATGACCCCTTGTTCCTCTGCCTGGGCTTTCTAACAGCACCCCAAAATCCTCCAAGAGCTGCAGAACACCAAAGAATGAGGCTTAACACAGTCAGGCTTAGCAGAGAAAGCCTGGAGGCTGAGCACAGGTCATGTGTACCTAACAGGCCCCAGAAAAGGTATGTGTGAGGTCTTTTGTGTCCTTTGGGGCTTTCAGACCATGTATGAGAGGTCTTGTTGAGCAGGAGGCACTCAGGTCTGAACTAGCAGGAAAGAGCAAAGCCAAAGGGCATGGGAAGGGCTCAGAGAGCCCTCTGGCATGAGGTGGCAGCAGGTGAGAGAGCAGAGCAGCATTTGCATTGCTTTATGTCTGTGCTCAGTGTCACAGCTCAGATCAGGCAGAACTCTTTAAGCAGGACCTGTCAGCTCTACCAGGGTCAAGCCTATGGGCACAGTGAATCCATCACTTAGCCCATCAACTCACAGTGTTTCCCACAACAATCATGGCTTTACATTTTTCCTGAAAGGATCAAGGGAAGGTTTGGGTTTGATATTAGGAAAAACTTCTTCACTGAATAAGTGGTTAAGCCCTGGCACAGCTGTCCAGGGCAGTGGTGGGGTCACCATCCCTGCAGGGGTTTAACAGCCATGTGGATGTGGCACTTGAGGACACAGTTAGTGGTGGCCTTGGCAGTGCTGAAGGAACAGTTGGCCTCAATGGTCTTAGAGGGCATTTCCAAACCTAATGATGAGTTGTCACCTGTCAGGGCAGAACCCATTAGCAAATGCCTCCAGTTCCAGCTCTCAGCCTCCACGGTATTGATGTGCTAAGATTGCCTCCAGTGACATGTGAGTTGTGGAGTGCCTTTGGCTCAGGGAGATGAGAGCTGTCTCCTCATCACTAGAGATATGAGCTAGCAAATACAAACCACTGCAAACAAATCTTTGATTACCTTGTCGTGCTTGTGTGGGATTTTTACACCATGGTTTTACTGGGGCTGTTTGTCTGCCTTGCAACGTGGGATTTCTCTCCCTGCCTCCTACTGCCTCCTGCTCAGGCCCCTCCACAATGAGTCATGAGGTGTGTGACAGGCAAGAGTAGGCAGCTGCCAGCTCGGAATGGAGACTAAACCCACTGTAGGAGATAATAACCTAAATAAAATGTTCTCAGCTGTCAAACTTAGAAATTTCTTGTTGCATTTAGAAATCTTTTGGGTTGGTTTTAATTTTTTTTGGCTAACACTCTTGCCTTGAGATAGATATGGAGACTTGTGATTAAAGGGACCCTCTGCTAATGCCCTCCCTCCCAGGACTGATGGTTGGGCACCTGCTGTGCACCCCAGGATGGTGGGAGGCAGCTCAGGGGCAGCAGCACCCACCTGCACTGGGCTCCCAGCAGCACCTTTCTCTTCCACAACAGGAAGGATGATTCCATTGGGTATTCCACCCCCCTGGTGAGTCTCCTTAGCAAGATGCAGAAAAGTTTCTTTTGGACTATGTCCTCTTGTTATCCCTAAACAGTGTGTTTTTGTGGAGCTGATTGTCCCCTATGCCCTGCTGAGACCCCACTGGCAGTGCTGCATCTAGCTCTAGGTCTTCTGCACAAGAAAGATGTGGAGCTGCTGGAATGAATCTAGAGGAAGCTATAGGGATGCTCTGTGAGCTGGAGCACCTCTGCCATGGAGCCAGGCTGGGAGAGCAAGGGGTGTTCAGCCTGGAGAGAAGAAGCTCCAGGGAGACCTTAGAGCCCCTTCCAATGCCTAAAGGAGCTCCAAGAGAGATGTAGATGGACTTGGGACAAGGCATGGAGGGACAGGACTCAGGGAATGGCTTCCCACTGCTAGAGGGCAGGGTGAGATGGAATACTGCGAAGGAATTGTTATCTGTGAGAGTGGTGAGGCACTGGCACAGGTTGCTCAGAGAAGCTGTGGCTGCTCCATCCCTGGAAGTGTTCAAAGACAGGTTGGATGGGGCTTGAAGCAACCTGGGCTAGTGGGAGGTGTCCCTGCCCATGGCAGGGGGTGGAATGAGATTATCTTTAAGGTCTTTTCAAGCCAAACCATTCTCGGATTCTTTGAAGTGATACCTCTCTTTTTCTACAAGATCTAGGGCTGCTCTGTGTCCTCAGGTCTCTCCTGCTCTCTCTGGGGAGACTCAGCTTGTCCTGAAGCGACAGAGACTCAGTGTGGCAAGCCAGCCCTCTCCAACAGGCTCTTCTTTCTGGGCATGCAAGCTGGCACCCATCACCATCAGGACACGAACTTAAAATGTGAAAAGAAGT